GGTAACGGCGTTCCGTGTCTAAGTCGCACTGGCCATGTGACCACAGAAGATTGTCTTCGGACAAAAACACTGGCTCTATGGCTTGGAAACGGGGATGAGCACTGCCCCCTAGAGTCGAACACGACTGGACAAAAATTGTCAAGGGGAACCTTTACCTTAGGATATTTTACTGATTGAACTTGGGAGCAAATTCACTGAACCTACAATATATTTAGATGGATAAGATATCCATCTAAACTCAGCGATCACTCTGAATTAAATCCACCAAGGCTATCTTTATCAGTAAGTCCTGGTTGAGATTTGATGGCATCCAGGGGTAAGTGTTGCTATGACATTGTGTCTTTCTCAGGATATGTGAAAAATCTTGATGTATATAAAGAACAAAGTAGCATGTCTCTAAGAGATAAGTGGATGAAAAAATGGAGGGCAGATTTTGAGATAATTTGGTAGTGGGAAGGTCAAATGACAGTTTAAAAATGTCAAATATCAACAGAACATTAAATGGAATCATAAGGAAACAAGAAATCTGTTCAGCTACATGTCTCTTCTAGGCAAAAGAAAGAATGCACCAAATTGTAAAAAATGTACTGATTTTTAGAATAATTTTTCTGAAAAATCATTGTGAACACCCCATGCATTTTTTCTGTATTTTTTCAGGATGATGACCAAGTTGTACCAGCATGTCCTTGCCTTGGCATTTGCTGTGAACGAGATCAATAAGAATGCCCGCCTTTTGCCCAATGTCACCATAGGTTTCCACATCTATGACAGTTACTACAATGCAAGGATGACCTATCGGGCTATGTTGGATATGCTTTCAAAAACACAGAGGTTCCTTCCCAATTTCAAATGTGGCCAACAGGAAAACATCATAGCTGTCATTGGCGGTCTTAGCTCTACAATATCCTCACATGTGGCAGACATCTTAAGCCTCTACAAAATTCCTCAGGTAGAACCAAGGGGTGATGCTAAGGGAAACACTCTGAATCCACAAATCTGAATCCACCTGAAATAGAGTGCTTTTAGAGTGTGTGAGGGCTGGCTAACACAAAATCCTTATCATCAGTTTCTAAAGAACCCAGTGCTTGCTTCTTTCACTGATTTCATCATTGGCGACATTTTAATCTTTGTAACAACCCCCTCAAATAAAACATTTCTTAATTGTTAGAGCAGGATGAGAAGGGAACCAATGGCCTCAGTGGGAGGTGGTGAGCACTCTTACACTGGAGGCCTTCAAGAGAGAATTGGACAACCCTCTGTCAGATCTGCTTTGACTTGGATTCCTGCCTTGAACAACAGTTGGACACTTTCCAACTCAATGATTTTATGATTCTGTGAAAATCTAATATTGAAACCTCACTTTGATTTGTTTGCTAGAAAGGGAAAGACACTTGTTTAAAATGGCCTGCCCTTGAGAAATATTTCAGTCACCATTTCCAGAGAAGCCACAATTAACCCTACAGTCAGATCATGAGAGAGATGGAAGCAAAATCTTATTTGCATAAGAATCCTTAAGCATAATTTTATTTTATTTTTTGTTGTGAATGTTTTCCATCATTTTATCTGCCCACTGAGATAATTCAGTAGGAAATTCTTCAGAAATCCAAATCTGGAATTTATCTCAACAAATCTAACACATACCCACACAGCCAGAAATTACGTACCTTTAAATTGTTTCTTTGTTTGCTAGCTCATTGGTTGGTTGGTTGGTTTGGTTGGTTGGGTTCGTTCATTCATTCATTCATTCATTGTTTCTTAGGTCACATATGGGTCATTTGCCCAAGAGGATACATACCAAACCCTGTCTCCTTCCTATTACCGCATGGTCCCAGATGAATCCCATCAGTATATCGGGATCATCCACTTGCTTAAATACTTTCAGTGGAGATGGATCGGGATCTTTGCTGTGCAGGACGATGGAGGAGATCATTTCTTGCAGGCTTTGGAGTCATTGTTCTTTCAGAATGGACTTTGTTCTGCCTTCATAGAAAGAACACCAAATGTGGCGTTATTTTTAAATCTGTATGATATTTTGGAGATGAACAGGAAATATTATCTGCTTCTGAAAGAAAAGAAAGCTAGAGTATACCTGGTCCATGGGGATACAACATCTTTCATTTGGTTGGCCTACACTGTAGTAGATTCTCTTTCTGAAGAGGAAGAACTTCAGCCTGCTGGAAAAGTGTGGATAATGACAGCCCAGATTGACTTTGCATTAGCAGGCTTTCAGGGGTTCTTGGAATTGCAGATGTTCCATGGAACTATTTCCTTAAACATTCATTCAAATGAACTGCCGGAATTCCAGAAATACCTTCAAACCTTACATCCTGGAGAGACAGAAGGAAACGGATTCATGAAGGTGTTTTGGGAGCATGCCTTTGGCTGTTCATTCCCAAATCCAAGTGAGCTAATCGATGCTGACAGAACATGTACTGGGGAGGAAAGGCTGGAGAATGTTCCAAGCCTATTCTTTGAAATGGCCATGACTGGCCACAGCTACAGTATCTATAATGCTGTGTATGCCATTGCTTATGCTCTTCATGCCGCAGAGTCAACTAGATCAAAGATGAACAGCAAGATGGGGAACAGATATCATGAGCCTCAAGATCTTCAGCCTTGGCTGGTAAAGTTATCACTAATTACCGTATTATCCATGTATTTTCCCAATGTATAGGATGACCCCCTAATTTTTACCCTTGCTGGATGTGCAGGAACAGCTGTGAGACGCGGACAATCGCGGCTGCTCCTTTGCCTCTATCTCCACCTCCTGCTGCTGCCTTCTGTGTATAAAATGACTCTCAATTTTTCCTCTAATAATGTTAGGAAAAAGTGTCATTTTATACACAGAAAAATACGGTAACTAAAGCATCATCCTTAGGTCATGTGATTATCTGGAGTTTTACCTTGCTTGTGAATAGGTTTATTAGCACTAATAATCACAGCTCAGGTTGGTTTAGGGCATTGGAATCTCTCCTAGATATTGTGCGTCGTTGCAATTTTTACAATTATTGCAGAACAGAAATTAAGTGTACTCATCAGAAGACCCAGTGTGATGTAGTGAATAGAATGATGGACAATGAATCAGGAGGTCTGGGACTGAGTCCTCTCGCATTCACAGAACCTCACTGGTGGTGTGGAACTGGTAAAGCCACTCCGTAAAGATCCCACTTACCTTGAAAGCCCTGTTCGGATCACTATAAGTTGTTTCCAACTCTTCAGCACATATAATTCCTTCTACATTTAGAGGCAAATAGAATAAATTTTATGGATTGTTTCATTTATCTACCACCATTTTGTCTTACATTCTCAGCCTCAAGTTCTTCCAGATTGCAATGAGATAAACTGAGGAAATGGGACTTATTTTACTCCTTATGAATCCTTTAGAATTTTGATTTGGAATGGCTTGATTTGCCTTTGAATACATTTTTGTACACTTTACAAAGACTTTTTTGTTAACTAGTTAATGAATACTATACAAACTGTGTATGAGTGTTAAAAGAATGTGCATAGTAATATTCCTTAAAGGTGACATATCATTGATAGGTTGACATTATTGTATGACTATGGATATATCTTCTCCTAAAATTGTTCTCTCTACTATCAAGAAAGACCGTTTTATCTCTTTATTTCCCCCTTCTTTTGTCTATTTGACCAGGTTCATCCGTTTCTCCAAGGTATTTCATTTAACAACTCTGCAGGAGACGCAGTGTTCTTTAACGAGAAACAGGAAGTGATGAGTAGTTTTGATCTTACAAATTTTGTTAACTTCTCAAACAATTCATTTGTGAGGGTAAAAGTTGGGAAGGTGGATCCTGAAGCTGGCGAAACAAAAATCCTCCTCAACGAGGACTTAATTGTTTGGCACAGAAGGTTTAATCAGGTGAAACATAGCTGGTTTTAGAATCTATGTGTGTGGGGCATGGGAATTGAATCATTCTGAAGATGACATTGGTGAAGAAGCATTTGGTTGACTGTAGGGTTCTTCCATTGGTCATAGAATTATGAAGTTGGAAGGGGCCTATAAGGCCATCGAGACAAGCCCCCTGCTCAATGCAGGAATACAGAACAGAGCATATCTGCCAGATAATTGTCTAAATTTATCTTGAATGCCTCCAGTCCCAAGGTCATTTGTTCCATTGTCATACTGCTCTAACAGTTAAAAAGTTTTTCCTGATGTTAAACCAAAATCTGGCTTCCTGTCACTTGAGACCCTTGTTGTGTGCCCTGCACTCTGGGTTGATTGAGAACAGATCCTGCCCCTCCTCTGTAGGACTGCCTTTCAAGTATTTGAAAAGTGCTATTCTACCTTCTCTCAGTCTTCTTTTCTCAAGGCGAAACATGCCCAGTTCTTTCAGTCTTTCCTCCTAAGGCTTGGTTTCCAGCCACCTCATCATCCTTGTTGCCCTCCTCTGAACTTGTTCCAATTTGTCAGCATCTTTCTTGAATTTGTGAAGCTTCTCAGTCATCCAGGTGAGGTTATCTGGAAGTTGAGTCGTGGCAATTGCTTATTAACTTCCAAACATCCTTCTAGATGTATGGTGTCCAGAACTGCTATCATGTTGTCTATGGAACAGGGCACCATGAAAAATAAAATACAAACGTGAAATATATTCCACTGTAAATGATAACTATTTCTCTGTAAGATTGAAAAGAACATTTTTATTTCATAAACGTGGAACTAAAGAGAAATATACTACATATATCCTTTCAAACAATCCACTTTGTTCTATTCCAGTGTAGGAGAGTTCCAGAGATCTCATGACTACAACCTCCTGCTCTGGACCTTGTTGACCCTTCAGTACATTTTCTTAAAAACTTCCAAATTTTTTTTATTTTATTTTACCAAAAGAGCCCTCTAATGCCTCCAGAGGCTGAAAACATTTATTTCTGGTTGGGAATGAGCAGAGGTGCCCGGTACTGTACAGTGGATAGAGTGACTGACAGGAACTCTGGAGACCAACATTCAAATCCTCACTTAGCCATGGAAGCTCCCTAGGGGAATGGAACTGGTAAAACCACGACATAAATATTTCACATACCATGAGAAGATTATTTGGGTAGTTATAAGTCAAGTCCAAGTGGGACGTGGTGGCGCTGTGGGCTAAACCGCAGAAGCCTTTGTGTGCTGCAGGGTCAGAAGACCAGCAGTCGTAAGATCGAATCCACGCGACGGAGTGAGCTCTCGTAGCTTTGTCCTACCTCCTCGCCAACCTAGCACTTTGAAAACATGCAAATGCGAGTAGATAAATAGGGACCACCTCGGTGGGAAGGTAAACAGCATTCCGTGTATAACCACGCTGGCCACGTGGCCACGGAAGCTCTACGGACAAACACTGGCTCTACGGCTTGGAAACGGGGATGAGCACCGCCTCCTAGAGTCGGACACGATTGCCTAAATGTCAAGGGGAACCTTTACCTTTACCTAAGTCAAGTCCATACCTAACTAGCAGAGACCTGGGCCCTCAATACAAAACTGTCCCTGTGTTTCTTACACTTGGTATCCTATGTTTTTTGGGCTGTGTAGTGCTCAGGAGTTTCAACAATTCCAGGGTGTTGTATTTGCATCCAATTTCAAATGGGCACTTCTGCTTTCCACAAGGTGCTCTCTGCTGCCATCATGGTGGCAGCTAAAAATCTAAGTTTTGGGACTATCTGGGACAGTGCCAAAATAGCAAAGAAGGCACATTTGATATGTAAGTCAGAGGCCAAATGTCTGAGATCCACAATGGACCTATGTTCTTGTATAGAAAACAGTGCAGATATTCGCCCCATGACTTCTAATTTGACTTCAACATTTTTTTTGTATCTTTGTTGATTAATTATCCACCAATGAGTCCACAGTGATTGCTTCTCATGCTGTAAAACCACACTTCATGATTTTGAACAGGCACGGCCAATCTCTTTATGTAACTCCTACTGCCTTCTTGGTTACCACAAGGAAAAAATAGAAGGGGAAAAATTTTGTTGCTACACTTGTGTCCAATGTCCAGAAGGAAAGATGTCGAACCAGAAGGGTAGGTAATTTAGTATGCAACAATGGCAGAGTAAAGACAAATGACATAACAATCTGGTACAGTAGGACCCCCTTATCTGCGGGATCGGTATCCACTGATTCACTTATCCGCAGCCTGAAAATATTAAAAACATTTTTAAAAACCCACACAAACTATATATTTCTAATGATGATATTACCAGAACTGGCTACTAGAGGAAGCCAGAGACCATGCTATGTATAGTGTTTGCTATCATCTGCATTTTTCAGCATCCATGGCAGGGGCTTGGAGCTGATCCCCTGAGGATACAGGGCTCCTACTCTGCTACATGCTACATAGTCAAAAGTTGTCAGTGCCGACGTTTCCCTTGTCTGTGATGTTGGCGCCCAGAGTAGGCAGAGATTTATGTAGCTGTCTTTCCACTGAAAAGAGTCAAAAATGGCACTGGCATCAGACATCATGCCTGAACATCTTGACAAGTTTCCCTCCATCCATGCTGTCTGGGGAAAGAACAGGATGGAGCCAAGAACCCAGAACAAAGCACCAGAACAAAACAAGGCAGGAAATATCAGCTGGGTAGAATTCCGTCATCAAGGAGAGCTTTACTTGGGGAGGTTTACTTGATCTATTGGCCACAAGATCCTGATCCACTGTTCAGCACTTCATCAACTGGCAGTCTGTCAAATGGTAAACATGATATAACTTCATCAGGTCCAGAGAGAGAGTTTTCTCAAATCTCAGGCAGAATGATTTTTAAGGGTGTTCTTTGTTCAGTCAAGGATAAAGAACAATGTGATTCTTCTCCATAGGATTCCATCTTCAGTCAGGGATGCTTTTACTGACAGCACTCAAGTTGAGAGAAACGGTGTGGTCTTGGGCAAGCTGCACAGTCCCAGGGTGTCCTCAAAAGAAGGGAAGGGTCAACCACTTCTGAGTATTCTCTACCTGAAAAGGGTTGCCATAAGTCAAAAATAACTTGATGGCACATTATGATGATTATGATGATTGAAAAGCAAAATGATTTTAAGAAAGCCTTTAGTTCATGCCACCATCTGAAGTGGGAAATTTAGTCATAGCTGTGGGCACGTAAACCTTACGTTAGATGATGGTAGAGTTAAAGATCCAAAAAGACTACAGTGGTGCCTCGCTAGACGATTGCCTCGCGGGATGAGGAATTCGCTAAATGATGGGTTTTTGCGATCGCTGTTGCGCTTTGCAAAACGACGGTTTCCTATGGGCGATTTTCACTAGATAACAATTTTTCCCCATTGGAATGAATTGAGTAGCTGTCAATGCATTCCAATGGGGAACCGCGCTTCGCTAGACGATCTTTGTGGAATGGATTAGCACCGTCTAGCGAGGCACCACTCTATTTGCTCTTTGAGAGCTTGTATGGTGCAACGACTATGGTGTCAGGATAGGGCTCAAGAGGCCTGGACTTAAATTTCACATTGGTCATGTAAACTATGAGAGTGGTAATGATAAACTATTCTTTCATTCTATGAGGGTTTGCATAAATCAGAAACAACTTGACTGCACATGGAGAGCAGAACAAACAGTAGCTACCTTTAAGAGGAGTTCACTATAGCTAATGCTGAATAGATGTTGAGATGGTGCATTGCCTTTTTTTTCCTCAGATGCAGAATATTGCATCACATGCCCAGAAGATCAATATCCAAGCAACGCACAAGATCAGTGTATTCCCCAAACTGTAACTTTTCTCTCTTACGAAGAACCTTTAGGGATCACTTTAGCCTTGATGGCTCTGTCGTTGTCCACGATCACACTGCTGGTGTTGGGCATTGTTATTAAACACAGAGATACACCTATCATCAAAGCGAACAACCGGGAGCTCACCTACGCACTGCTCATCTCCCTTTTTCTCTGCTTCCTCTCTACCTTCCTATTCCTCAGCCCACCAGGGAAGCTGACCTGTCTTCTACAACAACCAGCTTTTGGGATCATCTTCTCAGTGGCTGTTTCTTGCATCTTGGCCAAAACCGTTATGGTCATGGTAGCTTTCATGGCCACCAAACCAGGATCTGGTATGAGGAAGTGGGTGGGGAAAAGACTCGCCAAATCCATTGTCCTTTGCTTCTCTGCCATTCAAGCCGGTCTCTGTACTGTGTGGCTAGGCACCTCGCCCCCATTTTGGCATTTGGATATGCACTCAGTGCCTGGAAAAATCATTGCAGGATGCAAGGAAGGCTCAGTTCTCATGCTCTTTCTAGTCATGGGATACCTGGGATTCTTGTCTGTCATCTCCTTCACAGTGGCTTTCCTGGCTAGGAAGTTGCCGGATGTTTTTAATGAAGCCAAGTTCATCACCTTCAGCATGCTGGTCTTTTGCAGCGTTTGGTTGTCTTTCGTCCCATGCTACCTGAGCACCAAAGGGAAATACACGGTGGCTGTGGAGATTTTCTCCATCTTAGCCTCCAGTGCTGGGCTACTTAGTTGTATCTTTTTCCCCAAATGCTATATTATTCTGCTGAGGCCAGAGTTAAACAGTAAGGATCATTTAATAAGGAGGAAGAATTATGGAATGTCTCACTTGAGCAGACATGCATGAATACATGTATGGACGGGCACAGTTGGACATCCACACCTGCTGTAGCATCAATGGGATGGAGACAATTGTCCTTCGTTGTGTTTTGTTTCAGGCCATTACTGTGTAAAGTTTTTAATTAGCCCTTGTATTTCAAGGAAACATAGATGGTTCCTCAGCTGAAAGTGTTATAAAATCTGTCACTGCATGACCGGAAAGACTATCTACTGTTGCATGGTTATTTAGAAATGTGTCTCCATTATTCCAGTCATCTGGGCCACTGGGGAGAGAAAGTTTCAGAAATATAATGCTCGAGCCGCTGCTGAGCCGAACTTCAGCAGTGTGGCTTGCCTTTGCCTCCCTTCCTGGAGAGCATGAGACTTCTAGGTGCCGATGAGTTCCTGTCTGTGCTGCAGGAGTGGGCCCTGGAGGGGGAGGTGACCCAAGGCCACATGGTCACAGATGCTGGGTGGAACATGTTGGCAGCATTGAATGTGGCGGGCTTTGAGGGCATCGTATGCATGGCACACAAATTACACCTTGTGGTGCACGATGCCCTCGGCCTGGGCAGCCACGTCAAGCCTGAGTGGGATTCAGGCATCTGGGAGACACGGGCACTCCTGGAGCAATGCTACCAACTGGTGGGCCACTTCTTCCGCAGCCTGAAAACTGCCCGCCGGCTGCGTGAGAAGCAGGAGGACTTGGGTTGGGAGACCCATATTCTGCTGGCAGACCTTCCCTCCAGGTGGAACTCCACCTACACCATGGTGTCCTGCCTGGTGGAGCAGAAGGCCATTTTTGGAGGATATCAAGTCCATGCCCATTCTGCCTGGGGGGAGAGAGATGGGCATCAGTGCCATGGATTGGTTGGCCCTCTCCCAGATGGTGGAGGTGCTCAAGTCCTTCCTGGAAACCAAGGACATCTTGTGTAGTTATATGGCAAGCCCGGGGCAGGTCATCCCCCTGATTCATGCCCTCAATCAGCCCTTGGAGACTGCTGTGGCACCAGGATCCTTCTTCTTTCCATGGACCAGGGCTTTGGTGAAGAGGTTGCAGGCAGGCATGCAGAAGCAACTGCCTGTGTGATCCTCGAATCAAGGGGGGCTTGGCAGCACGCACCTCAGACCTTGAGGAGTAGAGAACGGAGCTCTCCACTGAGGTCCGCAGGGTGTTGGGGGCATAACGCTTGTGTGGGGCAACAGGAATGTCAGGCCACAAGGAACAGGGTGGTTTGCTCAAACCGCAGGGAAGGACTTCACCACTAACATTATTGGAGCTCTGTGATGACCTTGGCACTTGCCTTAGAGGAAAGACAGCCAACTGAGGAGGATTCAGCAGAGATAATGGTGCGGGGGTATCTGGCTGAGCCCTCTCAGGCCCACCAGTCAGATCCCCTCCATTAGTGAGCTAGGAAACTAGTCATATGGCTGGAGTTGTCAAATATGGCCATGGAGCTTCTTTCCACCACCACCACCCCCCCAGCATCCAGAACAAGCTCATGTTTTCCCATCTTGGAGACATTCTCCGACCACGCCACCTGCATTTGGATCCCATTATTGTGGAGAGACTGTCATTCATCAAGGTGAACCTTCCCTTGTTGGGCTTCCCCTCACTGAACCCAAAGAGGTAGAGTTCCAATGACAGTCTCTCCCTTAACACATCACCTGTCTGCCTGCCTGCACCTGCCTGCCCACCTGCCCACCCTCCAGTCCTCCTGAAAAAAAACCCTGACTNNNCGGCCTGTAACCCCTCAGTCAGAACTTCAGCTGCCAGTTCCACTTGCCTCCTTGGGCCAAGTTCCAATCAAGATGTACCTGCCTAGGGTTGCCAGATACATTGGTACCAAAAGAAAGACACAGAAAGACAAAAAGGAGGACAAAGGAGGACATATTGAATGTTTCATTTGAATTCTTCCAGATTAAACCCGCAATCAATACAATTTTATTACAATCGTTCGTTCGTTTAGTTGTTTAGTCATGTCCGACTCTTCGTGACCCCATGGTCCAGAGCACGCCAGGCCCTCCTATTTTCCACCGCCTCCCAGAGTTGGGTCAAATTCATGTTGGTCGCTTTGATGACATTGTCCAGCCATCTCATCCTCGGTCGTCCCCTTCTCCTCTTGCCGTCGCACTTTCCTAACATCAAGGTCTTTTCCAAGGAGTCTTCTCTTCTCATGAGATGGCCAAAGGTTGATTTCCTTCAGAATTGATAGGTTTGTTCTCCTTGCAGTCCAGGGGACTCTCAAGAGCCTCCTCCAGCACCACAATTCAAAGGCATCAATTCATCGGCGGTCTGCTTTCTTTATGGTCCAGCTCTCTCTTCCATACATCACAACAGGAAAAACCATAGCTTTGACTATTCGGACTTTTGTTGGCAAGGTGATGTCTCTGCTTTTTAAGATGCTGTTGAGGTTTGTCATCGCTTTCCTCCCAAGAAGCAGGCGTCTTTTAATTTTATGGCTGCTGTCTCTATCTGCAGTGATCATGGAGCCCAAGAAAGTAAAATCTGTCACTGCCTCCATATCTTCCCCTTCTATTTGCCAGGACGTGATGGGGCCAGTGGCCATTATCTTAGTTTTTTTTTTTATGTTGAGCTTCAGACCATTTTTTGCACTCTCCTCTTTCACCCTCATTAAAAGGTTCTTTAATTCCTCCTCACTTTCTGCCATCAGAGTGGTATCATCTGCATATCTGAGGTTGTCGATTACAATAGCTGCCAATAAATCTCTCTTAGTGAACCGACCAAGAAACAGTCATGTTAAAAAATAAAAATAAATTCAATGGAGGCTTTTTTCAAAATACCAAAAAACATTATTTAAACAGCCAGTTGTACCCGGACCCATCCTGGCCCAGCTGCTGGATCCCCTGGCCGCTTGCACTCTGCACAGGCTCAGAGGCAACCTTGCTAATTTGGACACCCAAACAAGGCTCCGGCACAGGCAGGGGGAAAGTGGCACCGGGCAAAACCGAATGATGCAGCCTCCCCTCCCTCGAGGGTCATAAGTTCAAGGCTGGGGAGTTTGGGAGTTGGAGTTCCCGAAAGGGACTTTGAACACACAAAGTCTGGGTGCTCGCCTTCCCATCAATGCACTCGGGCGCTGCTTGCTCCTGCCTGGCTCAGCAGGCGGCGCTCCACTCATGCTGCCTTTCTGGGCTCCACGTGGGCTGCGCGGGCATGGTGGATCACCGAGCAGCCACAGCAGCGGTGGGAGGAAGCGAGGGCTGTGTTCCAGCACCGGTGTTCCAAGAGAAGGGCAATCATCCTTAATCGTAGCCAACGGCCTGAGCTCTAAAAATTACACTTCCCATTAATATATACAGTCCCTTGTACATAGTCAAAATGTTTCAGAGATATTGAGAGTGAGAAGAATTTGATTTTGCATGGATTTCATGAAGGCAGGGGACATATTGCACAGTGAATTTTGTTCTTAATATTTTGTACCCTGCCCGTCAGAATTCTTCATGTATATTACCATATTCCAAAAGAACCCTTCAGAACACTTTCTAATATATAACTCAACAGAGTAGAATTATAATAAAAAGCTGACTGAGGGAGATAGTATGTTTTAGTCATTCCAAGCGTATTCAGTTCTCAAATCCTTTAATGCCCAGGATTCCTCTCACAACAGCTGATGGGACCTTCTTGCTCCTGAGAACTTTGTCCTCTCTGCTTCCTCCATTCCAGCAATACAGAAAAACAGACTTTGCCCCCTGCCTTCACTCTCCACAGAGAGATCTGAGGTTTTTGTACAAGCCTGAAAGCAGAAGTTGCCGCTGTGCCCCTTGCACAGTAATACAGGGCAGAGTCTTCAGGCTTCAAGTTTTCCATCCGCAAATCTGCTGAACTCTGGGAGTTATCCCTGGAGATGGTGAATCTTCCCTGAACCTTGGAGTTGTACCACTGGCTGCTTCCACTTGGGCTGCTAATTTGTGCCACCCACTCCAGTCCTTTCCCAGTAGCTTGCCGGATCCAGTGCATGTTATAGCTACTAAAATCAAATCCTGAACCTCTGCAAGAGAGGCGGAGAGAACTTCCTGGTGACACAACACCTCCTCCCGTCTCCACCAGTTGTACCTCCGAATGACATTCTGGAAAAAAAAAAAAGCATGAAGAATCAGAGAGGAAACTTGAAATAAATTACAGTCACCCCTGCTTTATCTGATAAGAGACAATTACCTGAGATCATGGCAAGAATCAGGAGAACATTCAGCCAAATCATCATGTTTCCAACTGTTTTAATGGCTCTAGAGATTCAGTTGATGGGCTCAATATTTTCTAGTTCCAGGTGGCTTAACATGGGGGCCTTTTAAGAGGAGAAGCAGACAAAGTGATTTGCATGCATGGCATATTTAAAGGGTTGCTCAAAACACTCTCTTTTAGGTTGCCTACTTAAAGGTCGAAAGAAAAGATGAAGAGAGAGAGAGAGAAAAATTGACTAGACCACTGGTTCTTAACCTTGGGTTACTCAGGAGTTTTGGACTGCAACTCCCAGAAGCCTTCACCACCAACTGTGCTGGCTGGGGTTTCTGGGAGTTGCAGTTCAAAAACATCTAAGTAACAAAGGTTAAGAACCACTGGACTAGACAATACTTGAGGGGGGAATCTTCAGAATTATTTCCTCCTAGATGGTTCCCCTGTCATGAACAGTGATGGCCAGGAATCAGAACATTAGTGATTAATTTTGATCTGTGATTCGTCAAGGTCAACGAATCAAGAATTATGAATTTACAAATTTATTCTGACAAAACAACCAATCAATTGGTCAATTAATTTTGTTTACTTTAAAGTGGGGCAGGATCCATTCTCAGTCATTCCAGAGTGCAAGATGCACATACTGATAGGCTCAAGTTACAGGAAGTCAGGTTTTGGTTGACGATCAGGAAAAACAGTTAGAGCAGAACATGGATAGAACTTGTGACCTCAGGGGGTGGGAAGCTCTGGAGACATTCAAGAGAAAAATAGGCAGCCATCTCTCAGATGTGTTTTGACTTCCATTTCTGCATTGGGCAGGAGGTTTGGATCAA